TTGTCTTAATGCATGTTTCAGTAGCAGCCTAAACTGATCTTTATAGAAATGCAAATCTTGGATTTCTTCCTACTACGTATGTCCTATAAATTATGATTTTGGCATTTGAGGTCTTCTTTTTTAGGGAGGTTCTATCTGAAGTGAACTATTGTAAATATACATTTTCTGCTCTCTCTCACATACATGCATGCACTCACACATACACACACACAAAGATTGCTAAGTAAAAATGCCTGTGAGTTATCATCTTACTCTCAAAAATACATTTGAAAAAATTTGCATTTGAAAATTTTGCATTTGAAAAAATTACTTTTCTGATCAAAACGACAAATGGAATTGAAATGAGCAGTACTGTCCCTCACAATCACTTAGAATATTAAAGAAGAGATCTTCTATATCTACATAAAGGAAGAATGGCCAAAACCCATGGATTGTTTCATCTGTAATTCAGATCCCTAATATCTGAAGTCTTCCATCTTAGATTCATCAAAAAACTGTCTTTGTTAAGTCAGAAATAAATAAATAGTCCATCATGCCACAGATGCAGCCTCTGTTGTGTGGGATTTCTTGAATTATGAGTATGCAACATTAGATATATTCCATTCATTAGTCAGAACAGAAAAATCACTTTGGTAGGTCGATATCAATGGGTAAGTTTTAATGACCTAATGGTTAGGTTACGAAATGTGCATTTGTAAACCCAAATATATTCATGTTTTCCAAGGTCCTACAATAGTTTAGTCTTTCGTGTGCATTTTAAGCTGCATTTCATGCCCCAAAATCTGCCATGCAAAGCTATAAGAAATCATGTCCATGTTACTCAGAGCAGTACTCTGAAAGATCCAGTATCCATTTGCAAAAGAGAAGAATCCACTGACTTGCTATTTTCCCTTGCAGTGAGTAGTCAAATACGTAAAAGTGGTATATCACCTGTTGAATGCAAAAAACTGAGACAAACACATGCGCCTTTAAATCTATCCCTTTGCTACGTCACTGTTAGTGAACATAGGACACATACCTGCAGAATAAAAGCAGTATCATCGCTCACAAGCCTGACTTGTTCATGTCCTGGAAAACCTAGGCACTACTTTGATCATGTAGTTTCTGACTTGTGATTTGACAAAACTCGATTGACCCATCCAGTTTGTCATCTCCTTTTCACTTCCCTTTCTTGTTTAATGAAGTAGATTGTACACGACTGATAACAGGGATCAGTATTACAACTCTTTTTCTTCCCTCACCCGGAACATACAATATTGTGATGACACTTTTGACGTTACAAAATTAGATTGTCAGTACAAATCGTAAAGGCCCAAACACTGACTTGAGCTTCAGCCATAAGAATAGACATATGTGGAACTGACTATATTCAAAGCTGTAAAAAGACTGCAGCTGGAAGAAAAGCTGGAAGAAAATAGGCAAAGGAGAACAGGCTTGCAGTTACAGTTTGAGTAGCAGGGAGACAAGCAGGGTAGCACTAGATAAAACCTGGAAATAAGTCTCTTTTGAAAAGTCACTCTGTGAAAATTGCTTAATGAGATTCCATATTTATTGTGTCTCCATGACTGAAGAGATCAGATTTTCTGCAGAAAACAAAATTTGTTTTAGAGATCAAGTTTAATTTTTTTCACTTTGAAGTACAAGCACCACAAAGCTACCCTGCCATCTGAAAATGGAGTTATGTTCTTTTCTAGTTTAGATTTTCTTAGGAATAAAGCAATAACAGATGGGTGAAGGGAGAATTTTTTCCTTCATTTTAAGGAATGATACCACTTCCATTGGTGGTAGTCAGGGATATATAAGGTATAACTGAAGGTAATGTTTACTCTGGCGGAGGATCTTCTTCAACAATTCTGGTCACGCTTATGCTAGACTAAAATTTGCATCACTGTCCCAAAGGAGAGCAAGGCTAACCAGGGCAAATTTAGTAAAAGCTCTACTTTGTCACAAAAGTGGGCAAATTCATTTCTCAATCTGTGGAAAGCCCAATTTCTTGATAGCTCTTTTTTTCTGACCTTAATCTCATTTAAACATCTCCATCAACAAGAGAAAACCTAATTGTATTAGAGTTCTTAATAATGGGAAGGATATTATTAGCACTAAACAATGGACAAAAAAAACACACGTTTGGAAAATGACAATGTATTAAAGCTTATTCAAGCTGAAATTGAAAAGTAATCAAACCAAAGTTATTTCATAGAAAGCAACAGAAAAGCATAGAAAGCATCAACCTGTCATTCTGCCCAGAATACAAGAAAAACATTGAGAAATGCCTTCACATAAAAAATACTCTAATTTTTTAGTTTCCTCCATAATACCGAAAAATTGTGAAAAGATATCTCCTTACGTCAATAGGTAGGTCCACATGCATACATACTGAAACATTAAAGATGGATCAGCTAATAGTTCCTGTCACCACTCCTAAAATATCAGTCTGCAGTAGATTCATATAATTATAGTGTCACATTATCAACAGGATGAACTATATCCCTGAGTAACTTCAAAGCAAACCAATTAGAGCCAGAAATGTCTTCTGTCTACAGTAGCCATTGCAGACAATGTAACCTTATACGGATTCAGCAATTTTGCATTTCAAATGATAATTTTAGGTATCTAAATACAGATTTAGGACTCTAATTCAAGAGGTCTGTTCTAGTAGTACTAGGTATGTGTAAATTTTGCACTTCAATTTCTGGTAGTGTCAGGTGTGTGTAAATATATATTATCTTTTCAACCACTATCTGTTAATATACTTTGCTTTCAATTTAAGAAAATGATAAGATCATATCTGAATGGATGAAGTGAAATAGTAACTATCATTATAAAACAGTAACAACTACCAGATATTTCATTCTAGGACTAAGCAAGAATCATGTCACTCAGCATACCCCCTAAAAATGTTCACAGTTAAGCTGTAGCTGACCTCAAGCAGCCCCTTCCAGTCCCGTGCAGCTCTACTCTGCCCTGGCCCCGTGCCCACTGCTAGGCTTGCTGCTCAACCAGAAACCCCAGAGGTTGTCCAGGTTCTGGGAATCCTATTCATCAAAGGGACTTTGAAAGGTCATTTATCCAGTTCCCTGCCCAAAGGAAGAACATGCATCATGCATCATGGGCATGCATCATTCCTGCAGCTGCTAGTCAGTCCTGTTTTTAGGAAGATAAGCACCAAAAATGCCTAGTTTCTGAGGTGCAAATGCTAATGGGATGGAAAGCATAACTCTCTATCTAGTATTTTTCTAGTTTTACACATCCTGTAACTGAGATCACCTATATTAATTATTTATAAGATGGCTTCTATGGCATAATGTTTTTTTTATCCATTTCTGCATGTCACAAAATCAGCAATTAACGACATTCAAATTTTGAGGAGGTAGGGGGGTTTACTAGCGCAAATATTGATGTATTTTTTCCTGTGAATATTTTACACTTGGACATGCTTTGTGAAGCAACTAATTTTTTTTTTTGTTTTAAATCTAATGTAATCAATAGTCAATAGTCTAAGACTTGGTCATCTTTATTATTTCTGCCTGGATGATCACCTCTTTGAATCTTGTGATTAAACAAATACCTTTTATCTTACAAAACTCAAACAATTCATCTTCACCTGCAAGGCAATACACAATCTCCTGTCGACACATACTCACCTCTCATTGCTAGTAGGGGTTTGCCTAACTCCTTACAGTTTCTCAGTAGTCTGATGTACTTGTCTCTTTAGTCCCCTTCCTCATGATTGGGTGCAGAATGTGTGCTTTAAAGACTCCACCATCTTCTCTATTATCTTTCTAATTCCTATTGAACAGACAGGTTTTATTTTCATGATATCACTTTCCAAATACTGCAGTTTTATTCCTTACCTTGTCTTGTATTAAACAGTTTGTAAATTATTTGCAATAGAGAATTTGCCATTAAATAGTTTGTAAATTCTTTGCAATAGAGCATATGCCATCTCTCTGTTCACAAGCATACTAGATAAAGTTATATGATACATCATTGTTTAATAATAACTTAAAATTCAGTAAAGATAAAAGAAGAATGGTACTTAAAGGTAATTTAATTTTTAATAAACTCTGCAGTGTGTAATTACATACTTCTTCTATAGAGTATGGCAGTCTACAGAGCACAGAGCAGATATCTCTTAATAAACTGTCATTGGAATATCTCTATAGGCTACTCAACAGCACTGAGTTCTTAGTAGCTATATAAAACAACATCATAAGGAAGGTGGTAGCTTCAAGCTCTGTTAATTCTGAGCACTGCCGGGATTTGTAGTTAGAACTTTGCTGGTTACTTGCTTATGGCTTGAGTTTGTTGGAGATTGCCTTTGGCTTAGTGAGAAAAATATTTGGTTCATAGAATCACAGAAAAGTTGGTTGGAAGGGACCTCTTGATTTCAGCTAGTCCAGCTTCCAACTCAAAGAAGGACTACTAGCAACACTAGATCAGGCCAGCCATGTTTATGTCTAGCCAAGTCTTGAAAATCTCTAAGGACAGAAAGTCCACAAGCTCCTGGTCTTGTTTCAGTGATGTGCTACCCTCCGAAATTGAAGTACTCTATCAGCTTAGTGAGACAATATATTCAGCTTGACGTGTAACTTACCAAGTGGTCTCCCTAGGATCTTGTCAGAGTCAATGGAAAGTGATGAGTTCTTCCAATAAGCAAAAAGAGCAGAGACTTAACTGATACATTTTGAATCTTTTTCCTTATCAAAGTCTCTCTCTGTCTCTCTATTGCAACAGAGGCAGCCTGAGAAGACTAGGGCAGGTAAAATAAAGATGCCAACAGTTTGATGGATAGAATAGCTATAATTAGCTGAAACTAAAAATGTGTTTGTGTATAACATTGGGCATGCAGTATATGTGTTCCCATGCCTATAAAGTATTACTTATGTATATAAGCATAAAGTATTATTTGCAAGACAAGTAAAATATTTTATTTAATTAGTTCAACTAAATTCATAAGAGCTTTTGTCTTTACTAAGGTTTTGTTTTCTTTAACTCAGGTATGGGGACATGGTGCCAAAGACAATAGCTGGCAAGATTTTTGGTTCAATATGCTCCCTGAGTGGGGTCTTAGTCATTGCTTTGCCAGTTCCTGTAATTGTCTCCAACTTCAGCCGTATCTACCACCAGAATCAACGAGCAGACAAGCGCAGGGCACAAAAGGTGAGCTACTAATTCTTTCCCCCTCTTATGTTCTTCATCAATAGATAAAAGATAATATTTTATATGCTGTGTGCCCTGAAAGTGTATATATTTTTTTTTAACAAGACTGTTTTATGTATATGCTACATGCCTAGTCTTGGCCTCAGATGCAATGTTATATTGTTTTAACGATAAAAATTGTTCATTTTTCTTTTATGTCAAAATGTGCACATCCCTTATGGTGATATTTCTTTATACTTGTACAGTTAAACTAGATTTTAAACTAGATTTAGCATTTTCGGACAATAGCTGTGGTCCCACCTACTGAAGATATTTTCTGTATTTTCCAGGCAGACTTTCTTTCTTCCAGAGCTTTCTGAGGAAAAATGAAATCTAATCATTATTTCTAATGTCTGTCTTAACTGTCTGTTTCACTAATCCATGTGTTTAATTCCCAGGCTCAGTCTCCAGGGGATCTGATTATTGGGGATCTTGTTTCCCCAGCTCTATTTTGGTTAAAAGACTTCAGAAAAAGAGCTTAATCAGGAAAAGCCAAAAGCAAGAATCTGTTCCTCCAGGTTCCTTGATTTACTGAGCATCTCAGTAGGAGGATATCAACAAGCTCTATGACAATACAGTTTCCCTCCCTGCCCCATCTAGAAGGGATGAACTATTTACCAGAAAAGATGCAGCCAAACTGGGCAGTCAATCACCTTTATTTCCATATCTGTGCCAAAATATTAGTGTCTGTCTACTTTTCCCAACCTTCTAATGGGAAGCAGGTCAGATGGCCCATATCAGCACCTGAACCCCTGATAATGCATTTTCTTCCTTGGCTCTGCTGGTTCATGTTAGAAGACTCCAGATGCAACAGATATTGCCAAGCTCAAGGTGTCATGCCACCTGATCTTTTTGTGGTTCCACGGCCTCTCTTTGCCTTTAGGGTAACTTTGATTCTGTCTATACGCCAGGAAAGGTGCATCCTCCTGTGGACTCAGAGGTCCTGGCTCTCCAGCTGTGGGCAGGCTATGGCTGGGGAGAGCATACATAGGCAAGGGACACACAGCCCACCACAGGCTGCACCTCCCTCGTACGGACAATACCACCAGAATTAGAAGTGCAAAATGTTTGCATTTTTCTTTATGGCCACCTTTTTGACCAGATTGCTCTATAGAGATGAAATGAAATAAATGTACAGAGTGAAACCATTCCTGCAGTATTTTAGAATCAGGAGAAGCAGAGCTACACGGCCAAGAAATTCAGTCATAGGCCTAGGCTGAAGATATTGTACCCCTTCCCACAAGATGGCCACATCTTGGAAGAATGCTAACAGATGAGGAAAGTAACCGTAATCAGTGGTATCACAGAAATGTAAGGCCTTCCTTGCTGGAGACATTTAGAATTCTAATATCAAATAGAGGCTGCTTCAATGATCCGAATATCATATCTTACATATCCACTAGTTCCACGTATCCTTTTGCATTTTATTTTGTCCCATGCGTTAGCAGATAACCAGCTCCAGCTGTATTTTCCTGCCTTCGATAATCGGAAAATTCAGAAAATGCACTACTTTTACACTGTATTGTTTTTGTATAGAACTTTTCCAATTCTGTTTATGCAATCACAGCAGACAATGAAAAAACAGTATCCATCAGAGAGAACACAGTGCTCCTTTACAGTGCCTCAGAGTACCGTACCAGTCATGGGTAACAGACCTGTGTGATCCCAGCAATCAGTATATCTGAGCTTTCATAATAACTACAAAGAGAACCAGCCTTAATTCAGATGGAAACTCCCTCTTGCTGCATGTTGTGGAACAAGATTTTATAAGTCTCTTTGTACTTCCCATGAGAAAGAGATGGACACTAAAAAAATACCTTGCAAAAATTAGATCAGTAGAGTGTCTCATACTCCCCATAATCTCTTCCTGAATAGAAAACGACTGAGATAGATAGATAGATAGACAGATAAAAACTGACTTTTTCTCATCGTAAAACAGTGAGCTCATTGTATGTTACCAATTGGAATATGAAGTGATGACTATAATTTTACAAAGCATCTTACTCTGCTTCTCAGAACAATGCAAACAGTTAGGATGAAAGATTTGCAATAACCATGTTTATGTCCTTCTTGCTTTGGAGGAAATAGTTTTGAGTTCTGATTAACCTACCATTGGATGTATCTGTTTCATAGATATCTCCTATTGCAAAACTAATTTTCTATCTCAGTCTAAAATGAGTCACACGTTGAAGTGGCTGAAAGTGAAGTGATTACGCCTAATGAACTTAAAAAAGAAGTCAACAGAAAGGACTTATTGGTTACTGCATAGTCCATATTTAGCAATAAGTAGCAATGCAGTTGTATAAGAATATTCACTCAAAAAGGTCAAATCCTTTAAGTTTGAATTTCCTGCCTCTTTGAAGACAGTAGAAGCTTTACACAGTTTTCTAAATCTTAATTTTAGTTGCCCAAGTAGTATCTTCCTAGAATGAGTTTGCATGGTGCCTCAACACCCAAACAATTATCAGCTTCAAAACCTGACTTAATGCAGAAAATTGATATTTTGTGTGATTATGATCTTTTACCTTTATATAGCAAAATATATCCTGAAGATTGGCTGAGCTGTGTTTTTTTTTTTTACTTACTGCTTGTATATGATGTATTTGTTAGGTTAGAAACAACTAGTTACTATTTAAATACAGATAGCTCTGGAATAAATTGCAACAGCAACTGCTTAACAGCACCTAGCAAGCCAAAGCTGAGCATTTGCAATAGGGTACCATACTGGATATATAACTTCTTTAAACTAAATAGGATATTAAGCTCTGTGAGGTTGCAGAAACATAACTAACAGAAGAACTTAGCCAAGATTTTTTAATGTAGCACAAAAGCATGTAAAACTTGTATTTACAAAGCAATAATGTAAATATATTGTGAAAAAAGGCAATATGAACTTTAATTACACATCCATTAATGTATAAAGTAAATAGCACTTTCTTCTCTACTGCGTGTTGGCGTCTTATAAATTATTGTCAGCTAATTTAAAGTCAATTATTTGCAATTACTGAAAATTAGCAGAACAGAGCATGAAATGTGGGAATGATTTTTCACTTGGGAGTAAACATGCAGGATGAATTTATGAAAGATCAAATAAAACATATAAATACACCGTGATATTCAGACCATTTTGGCTATGGCTCTAGAAGTCACACAATGACTTTGAAAGAATTTTTGTCTTTTAATTTTAGAAGATCACAAAAACAAATCACAAATGTAAGGTAAGTAATTAGCACTTTTTCAGTACTCATAGGAAGACAGTTAAGTAGTCTGGGGAGCAGCAGCAGAAGGGAGGCAATAGGGGCTAACTAGGCGCTAACTTGGAAGGGCAGGCTACATAGGTTTCTTGCATAGCAGACTTAAGACTCTTGCCAAAACTGATTCCTGGAAGCTCACTAAGCTTTGCCCTGAAGTAGTTTTGAAGAAACCTCTCTCTTACCACAGCTGGATAGCTGAGGGGATCTTGAGTGCTGAAAGCTAGATGGTGTAAATGGCCCCAACACTATGTTTTTCACTGTTTAAAACCTTGTGAAAATCAATATGCATCTTTCTAAACCTGACAGAGCTAGTAACTGCTGATCACCAGTGGTTTCCCTTTGTAGGGTTTTTATCATGATCTAACATGAATATGAGCATTATTTGTGTTGCCACAGCTGCAGTTATAGACAAGGTCCCACATCTAACTTGTAAAATCTGAAGTTAGAAAAAAAAAAAGAGAGAGAAAAAAAGAGAAGTGCAGTGCAAATACAAGGGAGCTGTGAGAACTGGAACTGATCATCAGTTTATTTAGAAAGTTTCACATGTGTTGAGTATGGTGGAATTTCATCAGGATAACTAAAAGAATTTTATTTCAGCTGTGTTGGTTTTGTCCTGGAAGCAATAAAAACTACAGAAACCAAGGTTTCACAAACATCCAATGGCTTAGAGCAAAGACAATAACCTAAAGCAGAAGAATTTAATCCTTCCTTTTTCTGCAGGATACCACATGAAAGGAGGGAGTTGGAAGGACTTTGCAGTGATTGAAAGGGGCAGTTATTGCTCCCCTTCTGTTGCACATGATGGAAATTGCAGTTTACAGGTGAAAGAAAGATACAGCTCTTCTGTAATCACAGTGCTTCTGATATCCTCACAGGATTTGGGTGTTCTTCATGGGAATTCGCTCCCCAGTACACAGTCCTTAAAATCCTGTAGTTGACTTAAGCTTTTAATGATTCCTTAACTGGAAATGTGGGGACTTGCTGGACAACTTACACTATAGACTCCAATTTAAATTAGGTAGAAGCACTGCAAAATAATCTTATCACTGTAACAAATTTGTGAATAGGTCCAGTTTCAAAAGTATTTTCTGGGAGCTCAAGTATAAGCATGGAAGCCACAAAATCTGGTTCCTGTCTTGGTAATAGATTTATTGTTTTCCCTTTGGTAAATAATGTAAATTCTGGCCATCTGAATGAATCTCAGCTAGAAAGATGTAAGCTATTAGTTTCCACTTCACAAAAGCTTTCTAAGACTCAATAAATTCATGTTCACAAAGCAATTTGTGATCTTCAGATGGAAAGTACAATTTAATATTATAGTGTTGTAGCACATAGCTATATTAAGATAGTCTGATGAACTGTTATATTTTTTATATTTATTAAATTGTGCTGCACCGTAATTACTAATTCTGTTATTAAAAGAGTAAATGAATACAAATGGCTAAAAGAAAAAGCATAACTAATGTATGCAAAGTGTTTGTTCATTAAATTTAAAGTATTTCCCTATATAAAGAGCACACTGAAAAGCACCAGAGCTAAAGAAATTTTGTGACTGAAGTCAGTTGTTTAGGGGACTCTATACTGCCTCCTTCAACAGCGTCTCTAAAGCATCTTGAGTTTCTAATGCTAATCAGTAGTGCCAAGAGAGATCTTTAAAATATTTATAAACTAGTGTACATACTGTGTCTCATGACTGAATTCAGTGCTACTGGTAATGCTCTTCTCTCAACTTTCATCCCATCATACCATTGTCGCATCTGAAGAGTTCCACCTTGAAAATAATGTGGTTTTTGCCTGCCGGAGGGAGTTCTGAGGACTTGGCCCTAACCATTCCATTGGCCGCAGATGCTCCCATCAAAGAACATTTTTGAGCCGGGGGCTCAGAGCTGTTAACCGTTTCTTACGCTTGTCGGCTCTGCAGGACCCCTGTTCTGCAAGTTGTATTGGTAGCTCACTGCAGGATGCGAGACTGCCTGGGTGCTGTTCGGCTGCGGGTAATCAGAGAAAAAGCCATGACTGAACGCCATTTATTCCCAGTCCAGTCTCCAGGTCCCTGTGAGAGGAGGGTAACAGAGTAGTGGGTTGCAGTTGTTGTTTCAGTGGTAACAGGAGGAAAGAGAAAGCAGGAATTTAGCTATGCAGATGCACAGTGCAAGTGATCCGGGCAATAACTAGGACACTTCATTCCTTACCACTACAATAAGTTACTTTACAATTTTAGCTGGAAAGGCTGTGTACACTAAGGAAGAGAGAAGATGAAAAAGTTATTCTAATATGACTGAAATAACAAAAAAATGAGGATCTCATGAGCTTTTTGACTCAGCAAGGCAAACATACACAGCATTATCCTATCTTCTTTTGGAACAATTAAATGATAATAAATACATGACATACAACATAGGCCAGATTCTAGCCATGTTTGCTTTTAACTGTCATGAATTTCTTGGCTCATTGTTCAGAAGACTCTTTTGCAAGTTTGAGGCTGTGAGTGCAAAGAAGTGCGGTGATGAGTAATTCTTCACAGTCAGTTAATTATTAAGCATGCCAGAGAGGAGATTTGGCAGCTGCAGTAACAAGGCTACTTCTCTCTGTGATAAGTGCTCAGGGATTCTCAGTCATTCCATAATGACATTTAATGCCACAGAAATTGTGGAGGGAAGAAATGCGCTCCCTCTATTTTCTCAAAATATCAACTGAGTAATTATCAGATATGAAATCCCTATTAATATATCAAACTCAGTTTTTCAAGGTCTTCACTTGTGTCTCCTTTTGTGCTTCAGCAGCAGTCATTCAACTCCAGTTCCTGCTTTGTACTTGGCTTTCAGAATTAGAAAACTAGGCATGAAGACAGACTCTCTCTGACGTATAAGAAACCAATCACAAAAGTTACTTAACCAGGATGGCATTCAAGAAATCTCATAAATGTTTCTATTTACCATAACCTTGGTCGATAGAGGTGTTTTTTCTCCATATTTTCCTGTAATGTTGGCTTCTAACCATCCACAGAACCCAGGAATTCAAAACTTCCTTCACAAGCCACCTCTCCTCTGCGATGGAAGCCACCTACGAAAACAAGAAACCTCACCTGAGAAATCGCTAATCTCACCTCCATCTCTCTCAGCAATTTGATGTCTAGAGTTTCCAAAAAATCAGATTATGGTCAGATCATGACCAATGCTGACAAGTATTAATAATGATTATGCAAACAGACATGAAGAGATAAAAACACTTCTAAAAGGCCTGGCAGGCGTTCAGGAACTTAGATAGCCGTCAGTGTGAAAACAGCTATCACGCTCTCTCACATAAACAATGAGAATGCTCTGAGAAACCTTGGAAGCTCACAGCAGTTGAAATGTTATGTTTTTGTGTTCCATTTTTCCCCCTTAAAGGGATTTTCACTGCAGGAGGAGTTGAAATGGAAGCCACGTTCCTGACGCACAAGGCACAAGGAATGGCACAACTGCGGTTGTACAAAGAAAGGAGGCACTTCCACACTGATCTGTAATTCCTTCTCTAAAATCATTGTTCTTACTAGCTGATGCAAACAAATAAAAACTTCGATGTAATTTGTGTTTTGAATGGAAAAACAATTGTGATTTGCTCCACCTAGAGGACGATATAAGGCATCCCATCTTTTCAGTGATTATGACATTGGTATTCATAAGTGGCTGACTTCAATTAGCAGTTTCAGATAAACAGCATAATGGATACAAGTACAAGTGACACTATTCTTTTTTGTCTCCTTTACACAGAAAGCCAGACTTGCTCGAATTCGTGCAGCAAAGAGTGGGAGTGCTAATGCCTACATGCAGAGCAAACGAAATGGCTTACTGAGTAACCAGCTGCAGCAGGTAATGTTTTTATATCCCCCACCTCCAGTGTAACAGCTTAATAATAGCCCAGCAGTAGTTTATTCTATTTATCACCAGGACAAGTCAACCTGGGTCTTTAGGCAATGTTATCTTCAGATGTAGATTAAGAAAGAATAAATTGGACAATTATGATTATTAAAAGAAGCTTATGAATATTTATGACCAGGTATAAAAAAATGAGGGAAATGGCCGTATAGAAATTCTAAATTCAAATGTAACTCACATTTTTAGGGGCAAATCCTATAAAAGACTTCCTTAAGACAGGAGACAGTATTTGCCTCTTAGGGACAAAGGTGGGATTCATCTCATTTGGCTTTAGACAGCTGGGTACCCTCCCTTCATTGCCAATGAGAGAAAGAGGTAACTCCAGAGAATCATTCACATGGGTAGATGTTGCAGAATGAGAAATATTCCCTGGAAAGTGCCTACTTTTCTCTGAAGAGAATCTCCATGATTACTTCAAATATTGGTGTCTACATCATAGATACCCAAATGGCACCTCACTGGGAGATCGAGGCTGAGAATGGGACTCCCAACAACCCCGCAATGCTGCAAGCTGCCTGGAGACAGCATCATGGCCACTCAGAGCTAGCCATGGGGAAGGACTGAAGACAGTGTTTCTTAATCCCTGCCACTCTCTGGGGTTTAGGCCATTCCCTAAGGCCACTCCCTGAGGCTTCCAAGCAAGGGAAGCAAAGAGGCTTCCAATCCTCTATGCCCTTTCTGTTTAAAAAGTGTTAAAAAGCTTAACACTTTTAACATACAGCCAGAAGAGGAAGAAGTGACTGTTCAGTTTATCATGAAAGCCTGGTAGTCAGAATGCTCCTCCTGTGCTTGAAAGAATTTAAATCCTTGAATTAAAGAGATACCGAACAGATTAATTACCATGCAGATTTCAAATATCCCTATGCTGAACTGTAATCTTTCCTATTCTCCCAGTTCCTCCCTTATTTAGCTTGCTGCTTTCTAGTGAACAATTATGAAAGCAATTAATAAGCAGTGGACGCTTTCTACTTAATTCTTCACTCTATGTCAGTAACATCTGCTGTACGCTTTCCGAACTCAGCAGACTGGGATCACTGACGTGAATTTTTGTGTAAGCAGCAATACCACAAATTCTTCAGCGCTGTGAAATGATCCCAGGAGGGCAACTATGGTTAATTTCCTTCAAATGAGGCACATTCTCAGGAAAAAAATGTCACTTATATTCATCATAATTTAAAGTATGCATTGATTCAACATTCAAAGCTTACATGTTCATTGCACTTGTATATTGTGCTAATCTATCTACACACAAAAGACCTAAGACTGTAAGGAAAGGATAGAAAATATTGGATTAAAAAACAAACAAGCAAAAGAGTAATCATGTCCAAGTTAATTTGGGTTTTACCATGGGGATGAAGCATTGCAGTTATGCTACAGTATACAATCCAGATTAGTTCTGATCAAATATTTGGATAAGAGCCCTCTTGTTCAGAAATGAGAATAATACAGTTCTGTGTATTAACAGTCCTCCAGTGAAGAAGAACAGGCCTTTGTTAGCAAATCTGGCTCTTCCTTTGAAACACAGCACCACCACCTGCTTCACTGCCTGGAAAAAACCACGGTAAGAAAATTGAATTTATGGGAAAACACTTCTAACATCAATCTAATTCTGAATGTTTTCAGTATTTCTTCTAATTAATAAACCTTTATGTGACAGCCATTAGCTAGGAAGAAAGGCTATTTTATCTCATTTCAAAATGTTATATCCACTGCATGTAAATAGCAGGGAGACATCCTGGATGGGAACCTCATTTAGGGTAAAAGATACTGGCATCAGTGAAATGACATGAGTATAGCAGCCCAGTTGCAGATGTGACTTTCAGTATGGTCTTTCATATGATGCATGATATATCTATCTTTTGCATTTTTCTGCAGTACAGCTTATAGGTACATTTTGTAGACCTTACACGTTCAAAACTCTGTGCAGTCAAAGCAAGCTTTTGCCTGAGTAAATGTTCGGCATTTATACAGCGGAAGGTGTTTCCTGTGACATGAGCATGATTCTGACCGAAGTGACTGCAAGAGAGCATCCATGGACATCTTATTTTGAAACTTCAGCCATGTAATCCAGATGCAGATGCAAAGCTTCAAAGTTTTTTGGGTTCAGTTTAGACACTGATATCCCTGTAGAAATCAGTGATGTTATTCATAGCAGCCCAAATACACTTATATAGATTTGAAACTCCCTATTAATTAAAAGGACTACTTATCATGTGTGCTCTGCCTTTTTCCTTGGTAAATACCTGGATAGTTACATAGCTATGAAGGATAGTAAATTACAGCAAGGTGATGATTCAGTAATAATTAAAATGCTGTATTCACCAATAGTATATTTCTGGACAGATAATGTCACAACAATAACACTAATGATCCCTAATTTTACTTTTTTCCTCTTTTATCATTTCCTAAGGAAGCTAAGAACATAAAGACTAGTTATGTTGAATTTAACTTTCATAGATTTGGGAATGAGCATGCTAAAATAATCTCAATTTTTTTAAACTTTAGAGGGGTTATATTACCATTTAGAATATACCCTATATTATAGGTGAGTTGGTCAACATCCACTAAATTGCGATTTACAAATTTGCATCTAGTTTTATAGGTTCTAGCTGCATCTAAAAAGTTATATGATAGCGGCCATCAGTATGCACCTTACCATGGCATTTCTTGACAAATGATATAAAACTTCGATGCCAAATTAGTAGGTGCTGAATTTCTGGATCATGAGGTATCTTCGTGATTTTGTCCATTTTTATGCATAAGGAATTACTGAAAGGAAAACAAACAAACAAACAAAAAACCCAGTTTCTCAGTAGGATCCATCTGTCCAGATACAAACACCTACAATGTCTAGACAGCTAGTTCAGATGTAGATTCCCTGGCACATTCTGGAATGTGGAATTTAAGCCTAAATTTATCTGCATCTTAGACGTGTCTATTTCTGAATTTACAGGGAGCTTTGGGCAATTAGCTCAGATACAGAAGCCCTTACTGCTGATGTTTAACTGTAGAGAATGTTACAGATGTAGGAGAATCCACTCCTTTCTCTGACTGCATATGGCCATACCTCATACCATATCTCAGCAACATTTGGAAATCTAACAACTAATAAGAAACTTCTCCTATCCATCCCTTAATACTCATGGCAGTTCTAGAACTGTGAAAACAGAAAATCAAATATTTTATTTTCAGAGGCCAAATCAAAGGTTCCAGTTACTTCATGGCTTCCCTCCCCAGTTCCACCCCAATACTGTCTCAATCCCTCCCTGAAATCAACATTTAAAGATAGGCTTAGATAGCTGTCAAAGGTAAAAAATTGGACCTCAGTGGAAAATCTGTTCTGAAACTTCTCTAACTTTTGGGTACACAGCGTAACTTCTTGCTATTTTGTGGTATCTTTATATTCTAGTTTTAGATTTTCATTAAAAGACACAGTAATGCTTCTGTTCTACATGATAGAGAAGGTCGTTGCAGAAGTCTTACTGCTCCTGCTTGAAGAATAGATGAAAAAATTTCCCCCCTACAGATATTACTAAATTAAAATGCAATGTAGGTATATGTATAATTTACTATTTTCATTTTGACAGCATTTACTTTTAAGCAAAATGGCCCAGCTGCTATGTCATTTAGATACTGATGTGTCATCTTACAGATACTTACGTTTTCTCCATGCTGACTTGTGGAATATTCATTTATGATCTAATGTGTTGTGGCACAAAATGTCTTACTTTCTATTCACAGTATAATGCTGGGTACTTTTTCAAGACTCGGGCTGGGTACTTCAGGAATATTTTTGAAACTTTTTGTACTAGAACCTGGCAATAGCAATTTGCCTGAAATTGTTCCACAGTTGATTACAAACATATTTTAAAACCCTAGTAGTGGCCATAGGTCTTGTCAAACTCTCATAGAAATCATGGAAAAAATTCTAGTCATTTAGTGGGAGCTGTATTCAACTCTAAAAGTTTCACATTTCCTCTAATCGTAATGGTGGAATAAGTAAGCCTTTTCTTTCTCTCTTTTTCAAACAGACCTTTTTTAACAAACAAAAAAAAAGTCTACAAACCAAGTATTATCTTATTTCCCAAATTTGCATATAATATACTTCTTGTTTTTCTTGGCTGTTGGTTCTACTTCTGGCACTGGTGTCCATACAACAAATGAACACAAAAATGTATAGAGGGGCTTCAAGTTGTATTCTGTTTGCTACTACCTGGCCAGATCACGCATTCAAAACATTTAAGCAGGAACCTGAAATTTTGTGGGGCTCCAACCTGTGGGATCTCGCAAGTTGCTAGTTCCCAGTATAGTAACATGAGTGATGTGGCTTGTTCCTTCCTTCATCTTTAGAAATATCATTTTGTGTGAGCATCAATCAAAAGTGTTTTTCATCTTGTTCAGTATTTTAAAGACTGTAGGATAAGATCTCTTCTCCTCTAAGAAATGCCGTGAAGGCCACAGATGGAATTCTGTGAAAATTACATCAATAATGAAAATAATTGTACCAAATTTTATATTTTATAGGATAACTGTAGCTGACATAAGAACAGTTAATTAATAAATATAGTCCAATATATTAATTTGAGCTGCTATATTGTTTCAGAATGTTTCCTGCCTATATTAAAAGTTCACTCAACAACCCTTTTTAATGGATGCTGCTAATTGAATTCTTGTTGGTTGCTCCATAATAGTTTTAGGAAGCATAAAATGTCTTTTGATCAGAAAACTAACTGAGTTCCTGGCAAACATATTAGAAGCCATTGAATGTAATCTAAAGATAGCTCTTAGATCATTTTTCTCTCTGAATTTTATGTCCACTGTGTGAACACATTTAAAATTTTGTTTTATGTCTGACATACGCCTTATAAAAAGTAAATTTTCAAGCAAGATCTGCCTTTCCTTTCCACTTGAAATCAGCATTCAATGCTGCTCAGGTCTACACAAAATTATATCTGAGCAAAGGAGAATAGAAGAAATGAAAATAATAATAATATGTCTATAAAGGTATTTCAACTTCTAGCAAACATTTGGCTACAATTGTGACTCTGTTTACTTTGCTCACAGATTTCACATTTGCACCATAATTCTCGTGGAAAATATAAATGTGCACATACAGTGCCTACTAACAGCTACACAACCTTTCCATCAATATATTGTTCTTTAGGGGAGAAAACTAGTTTCCCACATTCTAATAGGTGAAAATGTAGTAGGCATTGAAGTGAATGAAGAAAAGTTGAAGTAAACAAGACTGCGAAGACTGTAAAACAGCCCAGACGATGCTTCTTTAATCATTCTCAGGGTATGCACAGTGATTCCAGCAGTAACTGGAGATATTTTACAAAAGGAGGCTTTCTCAAACAATATATAAACATTTTAGTCTCTGCTGGGCATCTGGGTTGCTACTTTATAATTACTATAAATATTCTTTAGTTGATCTTTTTACCACTATAAGCCACAGTACTATTTCACACTTCTGAGCATACAAAGAAATCGTAGAAATCATGGCTTTGTGTGAAGAGCTCCCTAATCATATACTGAGTTAAAATAAACTGGCTATTGGCTGCAATTTTAATTCAGCACTATGATAACCCTGTAAGATTACTGTCTGCACTGAGTTTAAGGAAAGATTGCATGAACAAAGACCATTTCATTTAATTAAAGGCTCTGTCTTCTCAACTGATTTTGATACATTGATCTATCGGAATTAGAAAACATATAGGAACTTTTTGGAGACTTTTAAATAATTGTTTCAGCTTCTCCTGATCTGTGTAATTAAATCTTTTTTTTGTAATAGATGCATACCTTGACAGATACTATTTCAAATCCTGATTTCTACAATGTAATTCAAAATAAAGCTTTATAAACTCATTTGAAAAGTATAAATGAATTTTATTTTATTATAGTTTTATATAGTAAATGTTATTTATTTCCAAATGACATTTAGGGCATTTACATAAGCCCCACTTACATTTTTATTAATAATCATAATCCTATATTTTGTGGCTCTTTGTAAATTATACAGATATTCATAATGCAAACTTACAAAAGAATTTAGATTAATTGTTTCATATTTAGAGCTGGCAGTTTGAGAGTTTTGTTCCTGTGTTTACATTTTTATTGGTATTCAGTCCAGGCTAACACAAGCTAAACACTATAACCAGGACTAAGCTGTCTAACTTTCCCAGTCTATTCAGCTATGTCATTTTAAGCCTTTAAACAATGATTATTAATATGTTCTCTTTGTCTTTGTGTGTGTGCTTTGTCCCTCTGTTGGATTCCTCTGGACTAGAATCACGAGTTTGTGGACGAACAAGTCTATGAAGAGAGCTGCATGGAGGTTTCTACAGTTAATAGACCCCCAAGCCACAGCCCTTCTCTCTCATCTCAACAAGGCGTTACCAGCACTTGCTGCTCACGAAGGCATAAAAAGACTTACCGCATCCCAAACACCACCATCACTGGCAGCCGTCAAGGCAGCGTACAAGAGCTCAGCACCATCCAGATCCGATGTGTGGAGAGAACACCTCTGTCTAACAGGTACTTTATGTGCATCAGTAGTCCAAGAGCTGATCCACCCTTGGTTGTTAGAGAAGAGATGTAGATGTTTTGTGGCCTCCATGGGTAGGTTGTGAAGCTACAGGTCAAAGTAAAATAGTCATCCAAAAATGGAGACTGTACTGAAACACCCCCCACTTGTAAATGTCACTTAATTTGTTCCAAGTTTAATCTGAGGTAACAGAATCCTTCCTCTCTATCCCTTTTCTTTGTCCTCCCCACAAACTATTGTGCATTATTTACAGGGAAGAGCTTGCAGGGATTCCAGACTAAACAGAGGCCCAATCATTACAGGCCACGATGAACACATTATAAGATAAAGCTAGCAGTAGAAAGATATGCAATTCAGATACACAAGATGAGCAAAATGGAAGAAAGTTCTGTCATTGCCATTTCTACTAATTTGGTTTAGAAATACAGACAGAAGGAGATTTCCTCATATTCTCACAGAAAAGGGAAATAAAACTGGATTCCAGAGTCCTAAGTGATCTCTAGTCGTACGAAAGACTCTTCTACATAAAAATATGAAATAGATGAGAAAAATATATTTCCTGGTTTGAGGAGTTATCAAAAAAGTGAGGAAAGTACAATTCAAGAGGCTGTAATATACTGAACATCTTTGTACTCTCATAAGGAAACCATTTCACTTTCAGGTATATCTGAGCATCACCTCTGAAAATATAGCAAAGATCTCAGGAGACTCAAAAGTGTTTTCCGTTGAACTCAAATATGTCTTCATTAAAAAAAAAAAAGCATTGTGAGCACTAGTTGCTATAAAGATTCAGTCTTGTTAAGTGACATTTTGAGTAGCTTACTGTGAATAATTATTAAGTTTGGATTTCTCTTCCACAAACGATTCAGCAGCTTGTTGCTGCTGAAGTTTTTCAGCTGTTGTGCAATGGGACCTCTTGGCCAGCACAAAGCAGCAATCTATGTCTTAGATTTTCAGGAAATATTCTGCCTGAATCCATTATTCCTCTGCTAGAGGACTTCCCCACATCATACTTCCAGTCATAGAATACATAAAACCACAAAGCACAAGCTGTATGCTAAAAACAAGCTAAAAAGTTGAAAGCAACCTAAAAGCTCAAGCACAACATGTGGGTACCCAGTCTCACCTCAAAAAAGCCTGAGTTTTAGAAGTTTCTCATAATGCTGCTTGGCACTGCTCTATGCCCTCATAGAGCTAAGACACAGCAAGTCCGTGGACATGTTAACTCAACCTCAATCAATGTATACAACACTGTATCTTACTGTTGAGGATACACAACATACAAAGAGTTCTTTAAAAAAAACCATGGTATAGAAGTCAGTCGGAGACTGGGACGATCCCTTGCTTTCTGCTTTTCTACATAGCACGTTCCTTAACTGCTGTGAGCTTCATTTCTCCGGTGAACAGTTCTAATACCTTCCTTGCTCAGAAACATTTAGATGTTGAGCTCAGACACTTTTAGAAATACTGTTGGAAGGAAGGGAGACTGCCCATTGGCACAGCCAAGGGACCATCTGCTGCAGGGGCACGTAGTGCAAAGGTTAGAGAGTGCGCAGGGGGCTGGCTACCACCGCAAGCCATCAGGGTCAAGTGATGACTGTGCTACTTGGCACCAAGACTCTGAGCCCTCTAACATAACACTATGAAGATGGCCAGCTGAGGTAGTGGAATCTAGCACAGTTTGGGTAACATGGACTTTCTTTCTTCACGGATTTTTGTTTCTTCCTCCAGCCGATCCAGCTTAAATGCCAAAGTGGAAGAGTGTGTTAAACTAAACTGTGAGCAGCCTTACGTCACTACAGCAATAATTAGCATCCCAACACCTCCAGTCACCACACCTGAAGGAGATGATAGGCCAGAGTCTCCTGAGTATTCAGGAGGAAACATTGTCAGAGTATCTGCTTTATAAAATACAGAATTATTTATAAATCAGAATAAAGACCACTTGGAAGCTGAGCTCTAGCGGTGAGAAAAGAGTTCTGAAGAATGAGAGAGCTGACAACGACAACGCCCCCTTGACGCGTGTGCTAGCAGCAACCGATCAAGAGGTTCAAGAGAAACAAACACTTTGGGTTTCAGTGTTGTAGCGCGTGAACGAATGGAGATTCTATGCACTGTTTGAACTGATACACAGTGGAAGCTTCTGTGACCATTCTGACTTACTATATGAGCACAATGAAATGTCCCCATTGATGCTTCTTCTTATCATGAGAGCTCTTTTTAGGAAAAAAAAATACAACACAAAAAACAGAAACAAACCTGTGTTCCTGCTG